AAGGATTGCTACAATTAATCATAGTACTTATACATGGCTAGCTAGTTACATTAAGACCCTTAGTATCTAAGTTTAACAATTATTTATTGGTCTAATTTGACTAAGTATTTACTATGAACTCTTCACTTCTCATTTAGTTTCTTATCCACATTAGCTTGTAAAATTATCATCTATCAAGAACACTTCTAAATTATACAGATTAGTATGTCCAAATCCGTATGGTATGGGTGTGAAATACTCTAGTTTTTAACACATTAGAAAATTATAGTGGACTGATATGATATGTCAGTAGTAACTTGAATCAGTTGAGCTATAATCGGTTGACCTCGTTGGCGGGATCAATATGGTATGAGAAAATGTCAAAATGACATAGCGAGAATAAAGGATCCGAAAAATTCCAACAAAAAATAAATAAGCATAAAAGGCGAGACAAAAATTAGGAAGGTAGTATAGATGTTAATCTTAACCGGTTGATAATTAGTTAAATGAAATAATTCGGTTCAGTTAACCAATTAAGAAAATTTTTCTCAGTTCAAATTACTATATACCAGAAACAGAATACAATGCAGTGTTATAGTTATCTGAAGAGTAAAATGGATCTGTATTATTTTACTGACACTTCATAAACACCACATTTCAATTATTCAATAACAAGTTCATTTTACCGACAGCACTGAAGCTCATTTCACTAGCATGTTTTTTTATAAATCACACTAACTTTAACTTTACAGCTGTTTTCATAAATTCTGGGACACCTAAAAATTTTTTCATTTCCCGAAATCTCTTCAGTTTCGTCCTATGGATTATCTAACTCTTCAGAAAATATATTGCTATCTCCGGAATGAAGTTCCAAAAACAATGACGTAATTCCGAAGAGTTAGATGATCCATAGGACAAAACCAAAGAGATTTCAGGAAACGAAAAAATTTTTAGGTGTCCCAGAATTTATGAAAACAGCTGTAATTCTAACCTGACCCTAATGATTGACCAGAATTACTTTATTTGTTAAATGAACTTCGGTGAAAACTGCCGGTAAAATGAACTTGTCGGTAATTGTCTGTGAAATGTGGTGCCTACGAAATGATTGTTGGTGAATTGATCAGATCTCCATTTCATTTATTTTTAATTAGTTGCAATGATATCTGGCATATAAGATTTATACTTATTTCAAATTAATTTTGTCATATACAGGTTATCATCTCATCTTGTTATGGCACTTACATATGCTTATAAATTTAGTTCTGGGAAATGTGCTTAAGATGTTAAACGTCGATTTTTATAAAAATATGGTATTAAAAGTAAGTGCAAGCTATATTCTTCTCTTACCTAATTTATTCTTGCTTCTACTTATTCCGTTTATTCATATCAGCTGATTTTTTGAATTGGGTTTGTGTGGGTTTTTTAAAACAAATCCTAAATGTAAACTTTTTATTATGTGTATATGTATATAAAAATAACTTGAGTAATTAACAATAATGATATAAAATTAAATTAAATTTTAATTTTGTTTCGTTATTGTTAATTACCTTAAATTGTTTTATATATATGTAATAAAAAGTTTACATTTAGAGTTCGGTTTAAAAAACCCATGTAAACTCAATTCCGAAAATCTGCCGATATGTAGTACTATTTAATATACATTTTCTAGAAAAAAGTGAAAAGCTTTAAATCAAGTTAACGAATAACTCTTGTTTTTTTTCTATTTGGTTATTAGCATATAACATTCCTGCTTATTTGAATTAACTGTCGCTTTAAATATGTTAATCATGTAATGCTAAACAAAATCCGTCAAACTTTAAACAAAATTCATCAAAGTAGGATCACAGAATATATATAAAGACTAATAGTTAATTGAGACCTGAGTATACTTAAAGAATAGAAAATGAGCAATTATAAAGTATTTGTAAATAGAAGAAAAAACTAAAAATTTTAAAGATCCAGGTAATGTAAACTGGAATACTCTCAGTATAGAACACTCTAAATATTGGACAAAATCATTTTATGTTTCAATCAATACCTATTACTGTATATTGGAGTAGAGAATAAATTTTGTTAATTTAATTCATTCATTTATCATTGTTTATACCCTTGTTGACTCTATTCCAAAATGGTTCTGACTTTTACACTGGTTAAGCCTGTCAATTTTCTTAAAAATCAGCCTAATTGTCTTTTAATAAAAAATAGATTCTATAATTATGTATTTACATTACACACCTTTGAATTTAAAGTACTGTATATAATATATTACTATGGTACAGTATAAGCTTATTTATAAAAAATTTTCTAGTATCAATTATATCCTGGTTTTGTGTGACAACTTCGCACAGCTACCTTTATTTATATAAAAATTTTTAACCAGATGAAATAATAAAATTCATTAATAAAAAATTTTTTTATTAAAAAATTTTTTTTAAAAAAAATTAAAATCTGGGTTGGCGGGTCATGGGAGGTCAGTTGGTGGTATGAAAACTGAAAGTATAAGTTTGTGTGGCCTTATTTAATTTAATTTACATGTTTTTATATTTTATTTTATTAATCTTTACTCAAATTATTTTTTTATATAACTTACTCTTGCAACATGGCTAATTATAATATAAGGTCTTTATACTGCATAATTCAATATCAAATATAGTATATTTATTTCTAACTCCTTTTAAGCAACTCAGGTGCCTAGTTACTTACTGATTTTTTTATTTTTTTGAGGTATCAATTTTACTTCTTTTTTTTTTATATTACTGATTTTTTTATTAATTATTATTATTTTTTTTTACATATCAATTTTTTTTTAAATTTATTATTATTATTATTTTTATGTATCAATTAATTTTTAAGTTATTTTATTATTATTATTTTTTACATTCAATTTTAGTTATTATTCTTTTAATTTATTATTTTCCCAGTTTTATTTAATTTATATAATTTAACACTTTTTTTTCTTTAATTTAACTTTTTTTTTATACATTTTTTTTTTTAATTTAATATGTTTTTTTTTAATTTAATCTTTTTTCTTTAACTTCTTTATTTTTTAATTTACCTTTTTTTTAATTTAATATTGTTTTTTTCCTTAATTTAATATTTTATTTTTTAAACTTAACATTATTTTTTTTAATTTAATGGAGATGTTTTTTTTCTAATTTAATTTTTAATATAATATTGTTTTTTTTTTAACTTACTTTCTTTTCTATTTTTTAATTTATCGGTTTTTTTTTAATTTATTAGTTGTTTTTTTAATTAATCGGTTCTTTTTTTAAATTAATTATTTATTTTTTTTAATTTATCATTTTTCTTTAATATTATTGTTTTTTTTTAATTTTTAAATATAGTTTTTTTTTTTAAATTAGTTTTTTTTTTTATTATCGTTAAATTTCTATATTTTTTATTATTTTTAATTATTTAAATTATTACTGTCATTTTTAAATAAAAGACAACAAAAAATTCAAACTCAGATTTGGTGGAGTTTGAATTTTGCCAATTTCGCAGGAATGCGAAATGGCAAAAGTCACATGATACCGCCACAAAGGCGGCCTTTAAAATCTCCAACTAACAGAGTTGCTTATAATGCACTAATCTTTGTTACAAAAAAAGTAACGGGCCCTATGAAATACTCTGCTGACGCAAGGGTATTTCATGGGCCCGTTACTTTTTTTTGTAACAGAGATTAGCGTATTATAAGTAGAAAGATTTTCTGGAGTGAAAATATAAAATCAAAAAAAATTTATATCATGTGCATTTTACGCATTATGCGCATGTTATAAAATGCGCATTTTTCCCATCTCTAATTGTTATGTCTCTCAGCTTCATGTTTGTATTCAACCTTTTAAGGCATGGCTCAATTTCCCAAAAGAACCATATTAATAAATGACTTTCTTGATTCAAGATCTAATGACTATAGTTGAAACAATAACCAAGTATAGGATCTTATAGAGCAATTCAAAATAGGAAAGAAAACATTACTAAGTCTAATCCCCAAATTTTGACATTAAGCATTCATTTATTTTTGATTATTTTTTAGAACTTTAAGAGAACCTGGCAAAAATGTTTCAGGAATATTTTTAATTGCAGAGTTAGAATTTTATTAATAGCCTTAATGCCATTCATAGTTCGACTTCACCAATTTTGAGCAATAATCTATGCCAATTCGCAATTAATATCCTTTTTAGTGTACTGTGAATCTGTATTTGTTTTCTCTATTTCAATGATTGAATTACTTATTATCATTGTTTGTTAAAAATTTTAAAATAGTTTTTTAATAATTTTTGTTTAAGCATACTAAAAAAAATTTATTTTAGGGTTTAACAACAGGCATGTCGATAGGCTTTAACCTTTTGTGCCTATACTCTTTCGGCAATGTACAAACAGGGTCAATCATATTAGAAATCAGGCTATCACGATTTCTTCAATTTTTTTTTAATGAGTATATATAAGGTATATATTAGTGAAACCATGAGCTTATTCTTTCAATACAAATTCACATCTAACAACTAACTTCATGTTCACTATCTATTTATTGTTGGAGCAAGTTAGTCACAGGCAGGTGACACACTGGTATTTATTAGGTACAATTTACAAGATAATGAAGTAAAGGTTGGATCGAATTTCTATTAAAATTTATTTATTTTTTTGATTACATTAGTGCAGCAGTAATATATCAAAATAGGCTTTAAATCAATAATATCAAGATTCAATTTATTAAATTTTATTTAGTTTTTATCAATTGGAACTCTATAATAATTTTTACTGATAAGTAATTAAGCTCACAACTTGTTTTGCATATTTCGTCATTTTCAGATTTGCATTAGATATAAAATGCAGTTGGTTTAATAGAAAGATATAGCACAATATATTGATTTATTAGATATGGCATTCAGGAATGCCAGGGCTACTCAATTACAATTTAATAACTAATGATCATACCAATATTGTATTCCCTAGACATAATTTTTAACAATAAAATAAATTTTATTTATAGTGAATTAAACAATATCTTACAGCAGTGCTAAATTCAAATTTTTTTTATACACACAATCCATTAATTTCATATGTGCTCTATATACTGAAATTAAAAATAATAGGCGCTATTAAGAAAAATGCTGTCTAACATATATCTAATTTATAATCCACTCAATCACATTTGAAATTTCAATTATCAATATTTTATTTTTGCTTGTCCATATTTATATTAAGGGTTGTATGTTCGATACCAAGCCCTAGAAGTATTATATCAGTTACAACTTGTCATTATTATTCTTAAAACCAAATTTGTCAAATACTTATTTGTTATAGTGCTTCGAGTTAGTCCATATGCTTTCTATTCTTTAATCATATAGAGCTATAGAGTCTTTAAACAAAATATATATGTTTTTAGACAAAAAAAAATAAAAAAATCATGCTCACAAAATTAAAGTGAATATACTTAAAAAGTCTAATAAATTCATTCGATTACATTCTTATATTTTGTAGCTTTAAGTTAAAATTCTATTTGCCCTCCTTATACTGTCTTCTGAAAGTTACAATCTGACACCAAGCTTAGAAGTATTATATCGGGCTGTAATTTGCACAGATTTCATTTCTTTCACTGGGCTCAGCAACAGGAATTCCACTTGTACTATCATTACTAATACTATATCGTCCCGGTTCTTCCTCCTCAACTGTTTCGAGTTTTGTAATATTTCCACAGAAGTATAACTAATAAATAGTGAAAAGGGAAATTATATTAGTAAATTATAAATATAGCACTAGGTTGTACTTGACTAGTGATGCAGGCGAATTGTCTCACTGATTGTCATAACTTTTGCTGTAACTTATGTTACAACAAGTTATAGCAATAGTTACGGCAATTCACCTGCACCTCTATACTTGACACAAACGACACTTAATCAGGTTGAAATCAGTTTCTATATATATATATATATATAACTAATATTCAAATATAATATTTGAAAACAAGTTTTTGCTCTAGAATTTATAGAACAGGACTAACGCATGATTTTTCTTTGGTAAGAACATGAATTATTAACAGTTAAAAAAATAGACTTAACGTTAATATATGATTTTATATTACACAAATTTGCAAAATCTGTGTTTTTCAAAATCAGATTTTTAACTAATTAATTTCTGTCATATATATTTAGTAATTGCCGATCATTTTGTCCAGGTGACTCACGATTTACTAATTAGATTTTTTTAAATTTTATATGTTTTTCGCCTATAAAAATTTTTTTACTTTTAAGACAAGTCTTAATTTTTATTAGTAAATCGCTAAAAGTGTAATAATGAAAGGAGTTCGTCAAGAAATTATAAATTAATTTTTTAGTTAAAAAATTTCTTTAAAATTGTCTATTTTTAGCTTATAAGCA